CATGTTCAAAGTGTGTGAGACGAAGTCTCGCCATCCTTGCTTCCAAGGAGAATTCTGGCTGTACTTCCTCCAAGAGAGATTTGTTTGTTCCTTTGGCAATCCATGGTATATTCAATATTCTTCTCCAACACCATAATTCAAATGCATCGATTCTTCTTCGGTCTTCCTTAGTCACCGTTCAGCTTTTGCATGCATATGAGGCAATTGAAAACACTATGGCCTGGGTCCAAAAAAAGAAAAACTAAAGCAGTTGCTGTTGAGTGGATTACAACTCATAGCAAGCCTATAGGATGAAGTAGAACCTCCCCATAGGGTTTCCAAGGAGCACCTGGTGAATTTGATCTGCTGACCTTTTTGTTAGCAGCCATAGATCTTAACCACTACATCACCAGGATTTCCTGCCTTGGGTCAGGCACACCTTATTCTTCAAGGTGACATCTTTGCTTTTGAACACTTTAAAGAGATCTTTTGCAGCAGATTTGCCCAATGCAACGTGTCCTTTGATTTCTTGACTGCTGCTTCCACGGGTGTTGATTGTGGATCCAAGTAAATGAAATCCTTGACAAAGTCAGTCTTTTCTCTGTTTATCTTGATGTTGCTTATTGGTCCAGTTGTGAGGATTTTTGTTTTGTTTTTGTTGAGTGGTAATCCATACTGAAGACTGTAGCCTATTATCTTTTTCAGTAAGTGCTTCAAGTCCTCTTCACTTTCAGAAAGCAAAGGTTGTGTCATCAGAATAACCCAGGTTGTTAATGAGGCTTCCTTCAACCTGATGCCCTGTTCTATCATACAATGTTCCACTGCTATTCAAAAGGTTTTCACTGGCTAATTCTTTTCAGAAGTAGACTACTAGGTCCTTCTTCCTAGTCTGTCTTAGTCTGGAAGCTCAGCTGAAATCTGTCCACCGTGGGTGACTCTGCTGGTATTTGAATACCGGTGGCATAGCTTCCAGCATCACAGCAACACGCAAGCCCCCACAGTACGACAAACTGACAGACATGCGGGGATATCAGAACTTAACTTCTCTTTATGGCTGAATAATATTCCAGTGTGTGTCTATGCCACATGTTGTTTATCCATTCATCTGTCGATGGATGTTGAAGTTGTTCCTGCCTTTAGGCTACTGTGAATAGTGTGGCAATGAATGTTGGTGTACGAGTTACCCCCAGGGTTTTACAACCTTTTTACTGATGTCTAATATACTTACAAAATATACATCAGATGACTTCCACCCTCTTAGAAGATTCTATGAGGGCTGGGGCAAGCAGGGAACACATGAAGGATGGCGTCTGGGGAGGAGGCTTGGGGAGTCAGTGGGCTTTGAGTCTTTGTGCCTGCCTCATTCCCTGGCCACTGGCCTGGAGTCCAAATAGAAAGCATTTATGGGCCACTGGCTTCAGCATCAGCAGAGCCCTGGTTGTGCAGTGGTTAAGTACTTGGCTACTAACTAAAAGGTCGGTGATTCAAACCCACCAGCTGCTCCATAGGAGAAAGATCTGGCAATCTGCTTCTGTAAAGATTACTGCCTTGGAAACCCTATGGGGCAGGTCTACTCTGTCCTAAAAAGGGTTGCTATGAGTTGGAATCAACTCGACAGCAACGAGTTTTGGTTTTTGGCTTTGGTGTCGAGGACACTTCCCACGCTGCCACCCGCCCTACCGGAGGACCCCACCTGCTCAGCCTGTCTCTGTCCCTTTGACTTGGGGTAGCAGCACCTGCTCCAGCCTCACTTAAGAAACCAAATATTTCAAATATGAGCACGTGGTCAAGCCTGCCTACTTCATCTGATCCTCAATGATGGGTGACAGGGGTGAAGAGAAGGTCTAGCACCTGCCCAGACGGTCAATGAATCAAAGCCAGAAAGGGCTCTACCTGTCAGCAGGGTTTCTCCCTGGCCCTGCTCACAAAGTCCCCACCCTCCACGCCCACAGACAGCAGGCAGCCTCCCAGCTCCCTAGAAGGACCGTTCTCCGCAGAGGAACATGCTGCATGTGGGGCCCCCGTGGTAGCTGTGGGTGTGGGACTCTTGTCCTCCTCAGCTTGCTCTTCTTGTGCTGTCTTGGGAAGGGACATCACATACATTGCCCACTGTAGTGAGTTGAATGGTGGCTGCCCAGAAGATATGTCCAGAATACAGTAGGCTTGAAGGCTAAAGACCATAGACTTGGGGGACATGTATGTCAATTGGTATAATATAGTGCCTAAAAGCAATGTTCTACATCCAACTTTGGTGAGAAACCCCTAGAGTATGGCCTCCGGACACCATTTTAACTCAGTACTGAAGTCACTTCTGAGGTTCACCCTTCAACCAAAGATTAGAGAGGCAAATAAAACAAAATGAGACTAAATGGGCACACCAGCCCAGGGGAAGGATGAGAAGGCAGGAGGAGACAGGAAAGCCAGTAGTATGAAACTCAAGTTCGAGAAGGGGAAAATGTTGACATGTCATGGGGTTGGCAACCAATGTCACAAACAATAACCCATAACCTGTTGCCATCCAGTCAATTCCAACTCATAGCGACCCTGTAGGAACTGCCCTACAGGGTTTCCAAGGAACAGCTGGTAGATTCAAACAGCCGAACTTTTTTTTTTTTTAATTTTTTTTTTATTGTACTTTAGGTGAAGGTTTACAGAACAAATAGTTTCTCATTAAACAGTCAGTACACATATTGTTTTATGACATTGGTTAACAACCCCAGGACGTGTCAACATTCTCCGTTCTTGACCTTGGAGGACTTTTTTTTTTTTTGGTGAAAATATACATAGCCAAAGATACACCATTTCAAAAATTTCTACACGTACAATTCAGTGACATCAATTACTTTCTTCCAGTTGTGCTGCTTTTCTCCCTGTCCTTTTCCAGATTATTCCATCACCATTGTCTTCAACTCACTGTCCCCTAGGCTTCCATCAAACCAATAAGCTGCTGACCTTTTGCTTAGCAGCCAAGCTCTTAACCAGTCCGCCACTAGGGCTTCCACAAAACAATATGTGTATTAATTATTTAATGAGAAACTAATTTGCTCTGTAAACCTTCATCTAAAGTACAATAAAAAGAAACAAAAAGAGTCTTTGCAGATGTAGTTAAGCTAATAATCTCAAGATAAGATCTCCCTAGATTATCTATTGAGCCCTAACTACAATGACAATTGTGCTTATAAGAGATGCCCAGAGGAGAGGCGTGGGGAGAAGAGGAGAAGGCCATTTGAAGACAGGCAGAGATTGGAATGATGTGGGCACAGCCCAGGAAGCCTGGAACCACCAGAAGCTGGAAGAGGCAAGGGATGGATTCTCCCCTGGAGCCTTCAGAGGGAGTGTGTCCTTACTCACCACTTGATTTCAGACATCTAGCCTCTGGAATTGTGAGAAGATAAATCCCTGTGGTTTTAAGCCATCCACTTTATGGTCATTTGTTAGGTGCTCCTAGGACACTGATATATGTCACCTGTATCAGGTGTGTCCGAATCAATGTCTACATGGCCTGACGCCGTCCCCTCCTCTCTCCGTCCCTGCCCCAGGCTGTCATTACTTCTCTCCTGGACTAGTGCAACAGCCTCCAGACTGTCTCCCTGCCTTCAGCTCATCCCCTTCCAATCGGGCCAAACCTCCTCCTCATTCCAGAAGCTTTTAGAAGTCCTGTTCAAATTGCTGAAAGGGTAAGGCCACCTGCTTTCTGTGGACCACAATCTAGTTCCCAAATTCAAGCCTGACTTGATGGAGCCCCACTCAGAGGGGCCCCACGCTTGGTTTAATGCTCTGTGGTTGCCATCTTGAAATTCTGAATTGTTTTTGGAAAAGGGACCTGCATTTTCGTTTTGCACCAGTTGAAACCAGTTGCCATGCAGTCAACTCCAACTCAGGGCAACTCCATGTATGCCAGAATGAAGAACAGAACTGTGCTCCATAGGATTTTCAATGGCTGGTTTCTCAGAGGTAGATCTGCAGGTCTTTCTTCTGAGGTGCCTCTGGGGGGACTTGAACCTCCAACCTTTCAGTTAGCAGCCGAGTGCATTAACCATTTGCACCATTCAAGGACTCGTTTTGCACCAAAATAAACAAACCCATTGCTGTTGAGTTGAATTGATTCTGACTCATGCTGACCGCATGCGTGACAGAATAGAACTGCTCCATTGGGTTTTCTTGGCATCTTTAGAGAAGCAGATCATCAGGCCTTTCTTCTGCAGCTCTGCTGGGTGCATTTCAACCTCCAACCTTTAGACTTGTAGTCAAGCATTAACCATTTGTGCCACACAGGGGCCTTCGTTACGTTCAATGTCCTGCATATCATGTAGCCAGCCCTGCCCAACTCAACCTTCTCAGCTCACCTACTTCCACACCCCTTCCCTCAGCCTTGGCAGTAGCTTGGAGGTCTGTTAAATGTCACGTTCTCTCACCTCTCCGTGCCTTTGCACAGGCACTTTCTCATTTACGTGAAAAATTCTGGTCCTTCAAGACCCAGCTCAAATGTTTCTTCCATGAAGTCTTTCTTGAGTCCTTCAGGTTTGACACTTAGGTTCATTTTAGCTCTGATTATATATTTGCTCAGGGCTCTAGCACTCACCAAGCCCTTCCTTTATATGATCATGTTTTATGAGAACAAAGACACCTACTGTTTATTGAAACACCTAGTATGCCCAGATGCGAGCCCTGGTGGCACAGTGATTAAAGCACTCTACTACTATCCAAAAGGTTAGCGGTTTGAACCCATCAGCCGCCTCTCAAGAGAAAGATTTGGCAATCTGCTTCCATAAAGATTACAGCCTTGGAAACCCTATGGGGCAGTTCTACTCTGTCCTACAGGATCACTATGAATTGGAATCGACTCGACAGCAGTGGGTTTGGGTTTTTGTTGTTGTTATTTTTTTGGTATTATGCACAGAGCACGGGTAGATGGTTTACCCAGGTAACGGGTAGAACCCAGACAGCCACGTCCGCATCCCTGGGAGCTCGCCCACCCCCCACCACTCAGCTGGGATCTGCATTTCAGTGCTGTCATCGGGATTCCTGTTCATTTGAGTCTGCGAAGCCCCGCAACCCAGCACACAGGGCCAGGGCGTCCACATGTCTGCATATGGATCCTGGCTCTGCCCTTTCAGCTGTAGGGGCTTTGGCAAGTTTCTTAACTTTCTGTGCCTCAGTTTCCTCATCTGTCACATGACCCTCATATGGCCATTGAGAGACTCAGTGAGAGAATGCTTAGCACACAGTAAGCACATGGGTTAGTTGGCCAGGTCTCATCTGAATACTCACACTGCACCTGCCTCCCCCCTACTGGAACATCTACTCTGCTCTTAACTTACTTTTAGAACCCCCACAAGCCCCCACCATGGTGACCCTTCTCAGGGATACCTCAGCTGTCCTGTAGGCAGCAGAGGAGATACTGGGGTGCAATGTGGTAGCTCCGTCTCCCTACACCCAGCTCTGACTCTGGCTGAGGACCCAGCCCTCAGTATGCCCCACTCAGTTCAGCTTGCCGCATTCTCTGCTTCCTGCAGGAAGACCAGAGTCGCCTCCCCTTCCCCCAGCGGCCCCCAGTAGGTTCTGCTTCCCAGAAGCAGTGAACCCCCGAGAGAGGCACTGGAGGAGGGGAGCCGGGTGTGAGGTCAGCCCCAAGTCAGCCCCTCTCCCTTTCCCACCGTGGCTGGGAAGAGGCTGCTGAGTGGGTGCCAGCCACAGGGGAGGTCTGGTCCTCTGCTCCTGGCCAGGCCACAGGCCACTGCGCTGAGCAATAGCCAGGCCAGGGGTAGGTGTTCTCAGCTTCCAAGCTCCTCTCTGTCTGGCCATCAGGACCCCTCCCCAACCCCACAGCGAAGCAGCTGCCACGGGCTCTTCCGAGCAGGTGAGGTCATTGTCTCCACCAGACCAGCCTGAAGCGAAGAAGTCAGCCACCCATGTGGCAGAAATCACACATCCCTGCTCCCTGGCCAAATGCCCTCCTGCTACAGCCCTGGGCCCCAATTCCTCCACTTCATTCCTCAGAGGGGGCTTCAGGAGCTGCTCCCAAACACCTGTTGGAAGAACTGAGCTGGGCTGGCTGGAAGAGAATTATAGGGCAGGAGTGGGATGCTCGTTGAAAAGAGGAGAGGCCACAGAAACGGCCTTTGACAGCTCTGGGGGATTTGGTGCACAGACAGGTTCCAGAACCTCTGGCTTCAAGCCTCATTTGCTGCCTACAGAACAGAGCTGCATCGCTGGTGTTTATTCTCTGCTCAAAGCGATTTTTATCACAGCTCGACCAACACGAACCCCTTCTTCTGCTCTTCAGGGCTTCCCCATAGTGTCTGGTCCCAGAATGTTTTTGCCAAAGGCTTGGGGGACTTGGCTCGTGGCCTCTGGAGGGGTGAGTAGTGAGGGTTCACCAGTTAGTCCCTCGAGGAGCTTCAAACCTCTGCGTTAGTCAAGATCAGTCCTTCTCAACTGGGGGCAATTTATCTCCCAGAGGACATTTGGCAAGCCTGGAGAAATTTTTCGTTCTCACAACTGGGACAGGGGGTGCTACAGTCATCTAGTGGGTAGAGGCCAGGGATGCTGCTCAAAATCCTACAATACACAGAACAACCCTCCCACCGTAAGAATTATTCTGTCCAAAGTGTCAATCAATAGTGCCAGGGTTGAGAAATCCTGGCCAGAACGCATCCATTGATTAATCCATCATCCACCAACTCCTAATTGGCTCCCAGACTTTGGGGAGTCAAATCCAGCCCTCCAGAAACTGACCGTCTAGCTCAGTGGCTTCAGGTCCTGTTTGTCTCCGGGGAAAGCTCGGGGTTGGGAGCCAAGAGGCCTTTTGTTCTAGTCTCGGGCAGGCATCCTCATCACGGTGTGCCCTGGACACCTCATTTCCCCTCTCTGAGCCTCGGTTTTTACACTGTAAAGCAAGCTTGGTGTAAGAGAGACCACAGGCTTTAGAGCCAGCTGCCTTGGGTTTGGCTCCTGTCTCTGTCCCTGACCAGCTATGGGAAACTGGACTCATTCCTTTCTTTCCCTGAGTGACCATTTCCTCATGTGTAAGGTGGGGACCCCACGTCTCACCTCACAGGGCTGCTGGGAAGATGAAATGGGATAGTAGACACAGGGTGTCCAGCCCAGGTCACCCATGAGGTAGCCTTCCTTGGACAGTTGTTCTCCTCCCTGCTTGATTCAAGGTTCACTCCAACTCCCAGAGTTCTCCCCAACTCCACCAGTTTAGGGTTGTCAGATAAAATATAGGATGCTGCAATTCAAATTTAATGAGATGCCCTGTATTTTTCTTTGCTAAATTGAGCCCACCACCTGTTTTTATAAATAAAGCTTTATTGGAAGACAGCCATACCCATTATTTACGTATTGTCTGTGGCTGCTTTTTGCACTACAACAGAGTTGAGTAGTTGCAACGAGATAGTATGACTCGAAAAGCTTAAAACAGTATCTGGACCTTTACAGAAAAAGTATGCCAACCCCTAGTCTACGCTCCGCTTATCACAAGGCTGTCTGGAAATAATTCCCCGAGGGTGGTGGGGCGTGTGTCTGGAGCACATGGAGTAACAGCCCCTTTTTTTGGGAGGTGGATAGAGGAGATTAGTGAAGAAGAAGGCGGGCCCCTTGGTCATCCTGGGGACACAGCTTGGAAGAAATTGGAAAGTGCGTGGGCCCAGAGGACAGGAACCTGTGTTCTAGAGCTGGTCCTTTGCTGACTTTGAGTGGCCTTGGGGAAGTCCTTTCCCCTCCCCTCTCTTGACCTCAGTATTTACATCCTTCATTTGTTCAAGAAATATTTATTAAACACCTACTATGTGCTAGATGGAGTCCTTGCGTTGTGCAAACAGTTAACGTACTCGGCTGCCAACTGAAAGGCTGGAGGTTGGAGTCCACTCAGAGGTGCCTCAGAAGAAAGGCCTGGTGATCTACTTCCAAAAAATCAGCCACTGAAAACTCTATGAGCACATTTCTACTGTGACACACAGGAGGTTGCTGTGAGTTGGAGTCGACTCGAGGGCAACTGGTTTTTATGTGCTAGACGCCGCTAGGTATGGATCCTGCTCTCATGGGGCTGACATTGAAGTAGGATACAAAATAGAGGAGTCCACAAATACACGAGAGGGTGTCAGCTGGCGATGAAACGCCTTGGAGGAAACAGTGAGGGAGCAGGGACAAGGCGGGGCGGGGAGGGGTGTTGTCTCTCTGAAGAGTGGCATTGAGTAGAGACCTGACAGAGAAGGTGGACCTCAGTTTCCCCATTGGCTGCCTCCTAGGGTCACCCAGGGCTGCTTAGGGCGGGAACACTTCAGCTCTGGCCAGGAGGCAGCGTTTCTCCTAAACCGTTTGCACAAGACCCCTGAGAGCGGCACCTTTCATCTCCCCTCTGTGTGGACAGGAGTGGCCGTGGACGGCAGGGTTGTCACCCTGATGGGGGTGGGCTGAGGAATGGGGGAAGAGGAGGGGGCAAAGGGAACAAGGGCCCAACCTGACCATAGCCAGCAGTGACCTCCTGTTTTCCTGTGCCCATTCCCAGGAGGAGTGTCCTGTCCATGTGTTCACAGCTGGCCGGGCAGGCCTGACCCCAGTGGATGGGCCGGACGACCCCGGGGCACAGGGGGTGGGGGACTGCGCTTTGTGGATTTCCTGCAGGGCGCACCTCAGACCCCCTGGCCGACTGGGCTACTCTTGGAAAAATGGGCCAGATGCTCGCTCCCAGCCCCAAAGGACAGCCTGGGCACGGCCCCCTCTAAGCTGCCGACCTGGGTGTCCTCAGTGGTAGGAGTCACAGCCCAGGCCCGTCTGGCTGGGAGCTGGTGGTTGAGGGTGGTGGCGTGGCAGTGGGCAAACCCCACCATGATCCCCTCGTTCCCCAGAACACCCAGCAACATCCAACCCCTGCCCCGTATCCCTCTTCCACATAGGAGCTGCCTGGTTCTCATCTTTTCCTCTGGACCTGTCTTCCGCAGGATTCATCGGGTCAGGTAATTGCCATCAGCTTAATGGACACCCTGCTAGGTGACACAGCCACAACTTAATCGGGGCCCTCGGTGCCCTAAGGCGAATGAGAGACTAATGGTGCAATTCCAGGCAAGGGGCCGGTCTGCGGGGAGTAAGGGGCTTGAATTACAGTGTGTCTGAGAAAAACGCCCTTCCTCGTGGACAGGACTTTAAAGTTTACTAACTTAAAACTCTTCTCATAGTAGATAAGAATTATCTTAGGTGAAGAGAAGGACAGCACACACAACAGGGGAAGTCAGCACAACTGGACTAAACCAAAGCTAAGTTTCCTGAACACAATCACACTTTGAGGGACAGAGTAGTGGGGTAGGGGTCTGGGGAGCATGCATTCAGGGGACATCTAGGTCAATTGGCGTAACAAAGCTTATTAAGAAAATGTTCTGCATCCTGCTTTGGTGAGTGGCTTCTGGGGTCTTAAAAGCTTGCAAGCAGCCAGCTAAGATGCATCAATTGGTGTCAACCACCTGGACTAAAGGAGAATGAAGAACACCAAAGACACAAGGAAAGTATTAGCCCAAGAGACAGAAAGGGCCAGATAAACCAGAGACTTCATCAGCTTGAGACCAGAAAAACTAGATGGTGCCTGGCTACCACCAAAGACCACCCTGACAGGGAACACAACAGAAAGTCCCTGATGGGGCAGGAGAAAGCTGGGGTGCAGAACTCAAATTCTAGTAAAAAGACCAGACTTAATGGTCTGACTGAGACTGGAGGAACCCCGGAAAGCATGGCCCCTGGATTCTCTATCAGCCCAGAACTAAAACAATTTCTGAGGCCAACTCTTCAGACAGAGATTGGACTGGACTGTGTGTGGACATAAAGTGATACTCATGAGGAGTGTACCTCTTAGCTCAAGTAGATACAAAAGACTAAACAGGCAGCTTCTGTCCAGAGGTGAGATGGGAAGGCAGAGAGGGTTAGGAGCTGGTTGAATGGACACAGGGGATCAGGCGTGGAAAGGAGAAGTGTGCTGTCAGAGTATGGGGAGAGCAATTACAGTCACATAACAATGTATGTACAAATTTTTGTATGGGAAAAAATAAAAAATAAAACTCATCCCACCGACATTCACTCACTTAATTTCATTAAGTAGGGAGAGGTGAGTCTCATTTTAGACTTTCTACCCTTCTTCCTTCCTTCCCTCCTTCCTCCCTCCCTCCCTCTCTCTGTTTATTTCTTTCATTGATTCACTCACATATTCACTCAGTGTCGGGCCCTGGGCCGGGTAACAGGACCCCAAGGTGGAAATACAAGATCCCTTGTTCTTTTACAGGAAGGCAGTGTGTTCACACTCAATATACAAGGCAACAACCGCCGAAAAAGGAGGGAGTAAGGGAGAAACTGAGGCTCAGAGAAGTGGTGAGTGTCCCTGCAAGGACTCTACCTACCCAGGCCTTCTGACTCCCGGTCCAGTGCTCTCTCGTATACCAGCGTTGCCCAAAGTGGCTGCTGCCACTCTTCATCTTCCAGGGAAGTTCATAGGTGTTCAGAGAAAAATAAGACTTCACATCAAAAAGGTTTTGAAAACAAAATTAAAAAGCTGTCCATGTTGCAGGACTTGTCAGAGCCTTTAGTACAGCCAGGTGGGGCGGTGTGTGCAGGGTATCCATGGAGCCTTCTCAGCAGCTCTTTCAGGACACGGTCAGTCAGGGAAGCTCTGATCCAACCGCCTTCTTTAATATGACCCACACAAAGGCTGGCCCTGGACTAAATTCGGTCTGAAGACCTTTTGTCTCCCATGCCCCCAGACCTCCAGCTGTGGCCTGTGGTACTCAAACAGAGGTGAGGAGGAGCGGGGTCAGCCGGGCACAGCTCCTCCTGCTCCACATCTCAGCTTCATCCCACAACTGTCCAGCAAGGGACCAGAGTTGAACTCCGAGTGTACAGCCCACGGCATCCTCAGAAGGGGAGCCCCGTAGAGATACCCCCACCCACCCAGCCTCCCCAGGCCTGGCCCAAGGCACAAGTCACCATAGGGGCCAGGGTAATCTTTCTAAAACACAATTCTACTGTGTAGCTCCTATTTAAAACCCTTTGTGGCTCCCCAGTACCCCTAGGATAGAGTCCAAAGCCTCAGCCTGGCCCCTGCCTTCCCCACTCCCAGGCTGAAGCCCCAACACTTCCTGCTTCATGCTCCAGCAAACCGAGCCACTGGTGGTCCCGGGGCAAGCCAGGCTCGCTCTGCTTCGCTGTCTCTGTGCCTCCAGCCCCCATCCTAGGACGGCCTTCTAGTTCTGCTTCTCCTGGACGGTTTTATTCCTCCTTCCAGGTTCAGCTGGGGCCTCTTCTTCGAGAATTCTCCCAGCACCTTAGGCTGGCCTCTCCCCCACTTTCCATGAAATGATCTTTGATGTGTTGATCTCCCCAGCTAGGCTGTAGACCCTGGTTCTGCTCTCCAGCAGAGCTCCCTGAGGCCTCAGAGTCCCACAGAGGACCCCCCCACTGTCAGTATTCACACGTGTGTACCAACCTCCTAGGCATCAGGACTGCTCAGGTCCCCAGGGTCCCCAGGGAGAGAGTAGGCCCACAGACTCAGGCTGTGTGACCTTGGGCAAGGCCCTGAACCTCTCTGTGCTTCTCTTCCTCATCTGTAGAATGGGGTTACTCTGAGCTGATAGATGTAAAACACGGAACATATCTGGCCTGTACTAAGTGACATGCATGTTAAGCTATAGTGACAATGGTGGCATCAGTACCAGGACCCTGGGCATCACAGAGATGAAGGTCCCCATTCTAGCCTTGGCACTGACCTTGAGCAAGAGCCTTTTCCTGCTGGGGCCTCAGTATTCCCAGCTGTAAAATGAGGCTGTTAGATTCCTAAAAGGCTCTCCCAGCTCCTACAAGAACTGGCTCAGAGACTCTCACAAATATCAAGAACATCAGAAACATGCCCCATGGGCAGCCCCAGGGTCCCTGAAGCCGGGACTCTGACTCTGGAAGGAGACCCTTATCCTTCTCTGAGACGCTGACCCCAAGAGGAGGGAGTGCCTGGACACCCAGCCTTCCTCCCCTTATCTTCCCTAATGACCCCCAGCACCTGTAGTGGTTAGAACTGGAGGCGTCATTTGAGATCATCCCTCATCCCTCTCCCCCTTAGCACAGGCTGTTCCCTTTGGAGGAAATGCTCTTCCCTGCCACCTCCATCTGCTACTGGACTATCAGCCTCCAGACGGGCTCAGACATCTGAACACCTGGGCAAAACCTCTCCAAACACTCCCCTACAAGGGAAGCCACCCCTTGTCTCTCTGACGTGGCACTCGTCACACTGTCCTGTGTCTCCCATTACACCAGGTCCGATGTCTTTATTCAGTTCTCTATTATCAGCGTCTAACCTAACCCCAAGGAGTCCCTGGGTGGTGTAATGTTTAAACGCTGGGCTGCTAAGTGGAAAGTTGGTGGTTCAAACTGATCTAGAGGCACCTCAGAAGAAAGGCCTGGCAATCTGCTTCCAAAAGGTCACAGCCTTGAAAACCTTATGTAGCACAGTTCTCTGAAACACATGGGCTTGCCCTGAGTCAGAATTGACTCGATGGCAATTGGAAAACTGGAGCCTAACCCCAAACCCAGAGCAATCTCTCAGCCCATGTGTGTCGATGGGAAGGCGCACTCCACAAACACCCTCGATTCCCAGATTAGACGGCCAAGCCCAGGAAGAAGGTCGATCTGCTCACAGTCCTGAGTGGATGGCAGGGGAGGCACCTGACAGCGGAGGTGAGAACCCCACCGCTCTGAGCCTCTTGACCTGCAAAAAGGGGAAACAGCGTACAGC